GTTTGATAAGCTTCTCTAATTTACTTAAAAAAATTAAAAAATTAAGTTTCAATTTCTTATTCTAAACGTGTCTTTACGGGTACAAGCTTCAAAGTGCAAAGTAATGGATCGCAGTGGCTTTATATCTTTGTTGCTTTAGGATCGTGAAGCAACAAACCTCATTGGGAAGTCTGCTAATGAGTTAAATGAAAGTTCAATAGAGGTATCTTTTTTTATTTTAATTGTTAGTATATTATTTCAATTAAGGCAAATATGGTAAATTTGCAAAATTGTAGTAAAAATTAACTCTGAACCTCCAATACACCTTTATATTTATTAGAACTCACCATTTGTTATATCACTGAAAATGAAGAGCTCTATTATTTTTTTGATACCATTCCTTTTGCCATTTTTGGCAGCAACAATCGCGTGTAGACTAATGATATTGTTACTATTAAATTAACTTGGATAATGAAACAAATTAAGAAGCATAGCATAAAACGACATAATGCAGTCTACCAAAATGAAAAGTAGTCTATTGATTTAAGTGATGGTGTAGTTATGTACTTATTATTTTAATTCTTTTTGTGTTCTGGCACTTCTAACACTAATCCGGTCTTAGACTTCTGGTGCTGTTGAGGAGTGTTCTTATCCAGTGGAGTTGTATGGCATTCTTGACAAAAAAGTCATGTTTAAAGTGACTATTAAGAGCTCCAACATTAAAGTGCATGCGGAAGTTTATAATGTTGTTAAAATCAGCGATGACGATAACCTTATACGGCAATATAGTAATTCTCCACAAGCAGATACATTCACTGTATGTGATCATTACTCAAATACTTCATAATATACCAATTTTCCCTTTGATTTATAATCGATTATCAAGTTTAAATTAATTATGTCATTATTTTCTTAATAGGACCTTGATTTTAAGTGTGAATAACACATGATGCAGACACAACTTTCAAGGTGAATAATTCAAACTTTGCCTTTCTAGCTTCTCATCTACAATATGGTTTTAATAGTTTATTTTTCCTTTGTAGGATTTAATGGCTGATAATGAGATGACTTCTCCTGCAATGACCCCTGCCAAAAGAAGTAGAGAAGAGGATGGATCATTTATAGTAGAGTTTGTGATGATCTTGCACAATTTTCAAGTAACAAGGTTAAAAGAGTGATTAACAACAACCCAATAAAATCCCACTAATGGTGTTTGGGGAGGATAGTGTATACGCAAACCTTACCCTGATCCCGAAGGAGTAGAGAGCCTATTTTCGAAAGATCCTCGGCAACTCCCACGATTAAACAGGAGAAAAATCCATGAATGACTGCATTTACTTCATTTTAAATGACATTGTTTGTATATTTGCATTAACAAGTACTTTGGTACAATTTGATGTACTTTTATTTGTATTTTAATTTGGTTTCTACCATTTAGAATCATGTTTTAATATCTGAAATTAGTTGACTCTTTGTGATATGAACTTTATTTATGTTAGAAGTGCAACTGCATATATTTTGAAATATTGCATTAATGTCGCATGTGAGCGTTTACACTATTATATCATCAAAGAATGATGAGAAGGAACTTATGAATGTTATATGTGAGTTAAGTGAATGAATCAAGTGCTGAATAAGTCTTTGTGTAGTTAAGGTTTTTGTATCTTCTTGTGTTTGTATGACTTCAAACTTCTGATATATATTTTTGGTATGAGACATTAAAGTCCAATCAAATGAGACAACATCCCCAGTATAGTAAAATGGGAAAATGGTTCCTAAAGTGTAACCTTTATGTATGACATATTGAAGTCCAATCGTGATGTACTTTGTTTGAATCGGATGAACATCTCGATATCCCTATAGATACTCCATATACTTTGGATAGGGGTAAAATCTGAAAGGCTTGCTCTAGCTCCTCCAGTAGCAACGTGTATAGTTCCATTCAAAATAGTGTCTAATACTCTTGGTTAAATTATCAGGACTCGGTTAGGGAAAATGGTTGTATTGATATACTTTTTCCATTATATAAAGATGCCCCAAATACTTCCCATTATCTGCTTAGTGGAATATTGTGTCGGGATTCTGAATGTGCTATTGTACAAGCCCCTCATTTTGATACTGGCTTAGAAAAGTTCTTTCTTGATGGTGTTTTGCTATTTGATTTTTTAAGAGGGAATAAGACTTAAAGTTGATGGTCGGTAATGCTTCAAAAATATTCTCCGCGCAACGCGCGGGTTTTAATACTAGTTAATAGTTAAGGGATAAGATAAAACACCAAACCCCACGTGGCAGCCCCCTTTTAATTTAAAGATGACTCATTAGTCATTTATTAGATGTGTCACATTAAGAATTGGTTGGCAAAAACAGGAAGTTTGAATGTGCTCTCTTGTTTTCACCAAAATGAAGTTGGCTACACATGCAATACGGTGGTAAATCTACAACGCTGTTCCAATTATCCGTCCATAATGCTCGAGTTTGTATGCATTTTCCTTTAAGACAATTTCTGTTTCATTATCTTAGTTCATATAGTTTTCCCTATCGTGCCTGTGCACTGGAGTTAATGGGAGTCTGTTCTAAAGTATCTGCTTTTCCATCTTATATACATACTTTCACCTAACATTTTTAATACTTCTTGAAAAATTGACTCTTGACGTAGTATAGTTTGGAATATTTCCTGTAGTCCTTGCTATGTTTATTTGTTTGTTTAATTGAATCCTCTTTTAAATGATTGTAAAAAAAAACTGTTGTGAACTGATACCATTTTTTGGTCCTTGTTATTGCCTGATTACTGATTAGAGGTTTGTATGAAACACGTTAGTTACTCTGTGAATCTTGATTTGTGTCCTTGTACATTTTTGAGGCACATATCTGTCAGCTGGATTGATAACAAATACGGAGTTTAACTATAGAAGTATTTGGTAATAGAAACCACATCTCTTTTTATCTATTTTTTAATTCAATCTTTCCTCCTTTTTTTTTTCTATTTCATGTTAGACCTAGTCCTTGCTATTCATGTGCACGTTTGTGTGATGAATGTGTTTAAATGGGTTGAAACACTGGAAAGTCTTCAATGGATAGTAGTACACTCATAAATGCAATAATGCTTATAGATTTGTATCTTGAGTGAGGCCTAGTTATTTGTGGGCAAAAAGCAAAACTGTTATTGAACAGTGCTTTAGTTTTATTCTGACATCTATTTGATCTTTGTGTGAAACGTTGCTCATCTTCTTTGAGTTGGAAAACAGCTTGGACTATATATAGGACATGACTTCAGCTTTGCAATGCGGAATTAGCCATTGAGAATGAAGATCAAAATTCTTTTCTGTTTCCTGTTGTCAATTTGTCTGACTTTGATATTTCTATTTTCTTCATTAGGTTGATATTTGAGATAGATCTTATTTCAATTGACCTTGACTGCAATGGAGAGTAACCATTGATACAATTTTGGTTGCTATAATTAGCTGTCAATTTAACCTTGCCAATGATGGAAAGATAAATGTGCAATCTTTCTCAAGAATATTACACGTATTTTCCCTATTCCGATCTTACCATCACGTGATTGGTCGTAATTAACTCGTGTTAGAGGGATTGTAAAGAGAATCGACTCAGGTATGTTAAGGTTAATCCTTCCTTCTTCTTGGCATGATCCAAGTAACGATATGTAAATGTAATGCTATTCCATAAGTGGTTCTACTCTTAGAAGTTAAGGATATCTACATTATTCATTCCTATAAAGTGATATTCAAGCAAGTCTAAGTATGTTCCTGATTCCCCATATGTCCTACTACCGTATTGTCTACTCATGGGTCTCATAACATTCCAAGATATCATATTGTCTTACTTCATTATACATTGCATTCATTTATACACGTGCATTTACCCACGTATATGTGTATATATATATATATATATATATATATATATATATATATATGTATGTATGTATGTATGTATATGGGATATGGAAAAGGTTATGGCTTTATATACGCACCACCACCTTATCAGCTGGTATACATTGATGATTTGCCCACAGTGGCCGAGCTGATATGATGGGATGCCCTTAGAGGCTTGATGATGTTATGTACGTACAAACCTATGAATTATATGACATTTATACGCATATGCATGACCTTATAAATATTTCATGATTTACAGAGCTATCTAGATTTACAGGTTGAGTCATTTACTCCACGTTTCTTCCATGTCCTTTATATACTTATTTACATGCCTTACATACTCAGTACATTATTCGTACTGACGTCCTTTTGTTGGGGACGCTGCATTTATGCCTACAGGTATAGATAATCAGTTGACGAGCCCTCATAGTAGACGTGATTGGCATTCAGCGAAGGATCGTAAGACTCCACCTCATTCGGAGTGCAGCCGAGTTTATGAGTCATCGTGTCAGAGTTTTACTACAGATTTACGGGTAGGCCGGTACCCTGTCCCATTTGATGTCAGTTAATGATAGAGGCTTTATAGACATAGGTTCATTTTGTACAGTACGTCAGAGGCCTTGACGGCCCATACGTATTCATGTTTTAAGAAAAATGATTCAGGGATAACGTGTTTTCACACTTACAGTTATACATTATGAGTTGTGGCCATGTTGGCCCATGATAGTTACAAAGAAAATAAAAGAGTTGCAGAGTGGTTCGCTCGAGCCAGTGCGGCATCGAGTGCCAGCCACGCCTCCCCAGGTTTGGGGCGTGACAAAAGGGATTTGAATGTTTAGAGTAAACTGGTATTGTCTTGAGCGTCACCTGAGATCGGTGTTTTGTGAAAGAGGCTTTGCAACCTGGTTATGGATTCTTGATTTGCTTTACAGCGTTAGTACGGCCGGTGGTATGGATGTGTAGACTTGTTATCTGGTGCGGAAGGTCATGGGAGCGTGTCTTGCGGGGAGACTGTATAGGTGTGACATGTAGTCACTTGATTGATTGGAAATTTAAAGCAAGTACGAGGATTGTGGTGATATCGCTAATTTGAGAATTATGCCTGAAGGGCACTAGATTTATTGGGATGTGGACTGTGGAGGTTTACTCCGGTTATGATGGTTGTTCTTGTAAGTTATAGGAAAATGGGGCATTTATGGACCTTTGAAAGGTTATTTGCCTAGTGCGGAGCGATCAAAATCGGCTTGAGGTCTGTGGATGGATTTAAATATGTAGGTGGACTCTATATCAGGCCGGAAGTGTTCATTTCAGCATAGCGCTTCTTATGGAGGAGTATCCGGACGTTGGATGCTATTTCGTCGTCGGCTATTTTATGCAATGCTATATTGCGCCGTGTGAGTTGAGAAACAGCTTAATAAATATCTTATGTGTTGAGGTTCTACGTAACGATGGTGTTATGTGAGAAGGATGGCCCTTGTGATTCAGATTATATATCGCACCTCAGTTATGCTTGAGTTTTGTAGCTTGTGGCGCTATATGTCTCCCCAGGGATGGTATTATGCACATAGCGTGTGTAACAACCCGACCCGTTGTTACGGGAGTTACCGCCCCGTTTTTCCCGTTTTATGCTTCTATATGTTTCATTATATGTGTTTGGAGAATTTGAAGTAATTCGGATAGAGTTCGGTTAGAAATGAGACAATAAGTCTCTTTATGAGAAGGTTAGTTTGGAAAAGTCAACCGAATGTTGACTTATGAGTTAGAAGGCTCGGAATGGATTTCCGATGATTCGACTAGTTTCGGGGGATGATTTGTGACTTAGGAGCGCAATCGGAATTGAATTTGGAGGTCCGGTGTAGAATTAGGCTTGAATTGGCTAAGGTTTTGGTGAATTCCGGATGGTAGGTGAGATTTTGATCCGAGGGTCGGAATGGAATTCTGACAGTTGCAGTAGCTTCGTTAGGTAATTTTGGATATGCGTGCAAAGTTTCAGATCATTCGGAGGTGTTTAGGACGGGTTTTAGATCAAATGCAAGTTTCGGAAGTTTTAGTTTAACTTAGGCTTGAATCCGTGGTAATTCGATGATTTTGATGTTAACGATAGTGTTTTGATGATTGGAACAAGTTTGAATAAGGTCTTGGGGTGTGTTGGTGCTATTGGTTGAGGTCCCGGGGGCCTCGGAGTGATTTCGGGTGGTTAAACGGAGAATCTTGATGTTGTTGCAGGTCTGGTGCACCTGGCTTCTGGTATTTCCGCATCTGCGGAAAAGGAGCCGCAGAAGCGGTTCCGCAGATGCGGCTAAGAGGTCGCATAAGCGGTCCATGAGGGACCGGGGTAATTCTGCAAAAGCGGACGGGGTATCGCTTCAGCGGGTCCACATAGGCGAAAATGAGGCTGCAGAAGCGGAATGGTGAGATCCGCAGAAGCGGATGGTTGGGCGCAAAAGCGGAAGGCCAAGGATTTAATGAAAAACCGCATAAGCGGTCATATGGCCGCAGAAGCGGTCCCGCATAAGCGGTTACGGGACCGCAGAAGCAAAAATTGCTGAAGGGTTTTAATGAATCAGTGTTCGCGAATT